GTGTGCACTCTTAGTGAAGCTTCTACACACCGCGTTATAAGTGTATATTCGATGATTGCGTTAGCGGCCCATACCGAAGAATCCGGCAGGCCTCGAGTGGCCCATGGTAAATGGGTTAAGCACCTCTGATCAGCTCCCCCAGATTAAAAATGTCTCATGCCAGGGGCCTCCTATAATAATTTACTCCCTCTTAGAATGTTTACATAGTACACTAACTATACCTTCCTTTATAGTATGGAACTTGTGGAGTATATTGCCAGCACTGAATAAAATAAACATACACTTTATAACTTCTATGCATTCTGTAGCTCAAGCTAGGAAGTGAGTAAAGATTAAAAAAAAAAAAAAAGGATATTAACATTGCAGTGATAGGCACTTCTGTCCTTCGGTGTCCTATAGGTAGCTGTCAATCAAACTGGCAAAGCCTGGCCTGGTAAAGTGCTACATATGTAAGCACTATAAAAGTAAAATATTGACAGAATTATACTACCCCTACCTTAACTTCCCCTCTACAGTCATGTAGACTGTACAGTGGCAATACACGTGCTAGAGCAATATAACCTACATAATGATAACGGCAAGAAATGGATAAGTTCTGAATAACTGAATAAAAAACGTGAGAAAGCCAGCAAACCCGGAGTAAGGGAACTCCCCCAAAGAGGAAATACAAAAACGGTACAAAAAATTATAGGTTGCACCAAATAATGAAACACAGCAAAGTCAATAGGACAACATACAATAGTATATTAATGGGGAACACTTTCCACCAGAAAACAATGCGAAAAGACATAAATTTGTAGAAATGTATGAAAATAGGCAACTGGTAGCCAAAATCCTCCACAACGATGTGAGAGTGAAAGGGTTAATGTTGTAATGGACTCTAATCCCCTCGGTTCTCGATCCCTCGGTCACCATAATCAACGTTGATGGAGAATCATTGTAAGCATTAACACACGGACAACAGCTTTACAAGACTCTCAAATGAGTGTATTCCAGAGCTGGCTTTTATACATAGTTTGCTTACATTAGCCATGGTATATGCAAATACAGTACAGACTATAAGATTTATTACTTCCTTATATTACGTTATTCTGACAATGGAAAGATAAGCTTTTGCATACGTCTGGAAAAGAATATCCTTAAAATCGGAATGGGCAAGACATCCTGAAATTTAGCATTGTCTTACATCCTATAGAAGAAATACCTTAGTCTGTCACAGTCAGCATATTGACTTTAAGTATTCAATATCCCTTCAGTCAGCAATAATCATGTTATAAACCTTATAAAAGCATAAAATACATATAAACAAGTTAACTATTTAATATTCTTACATTCCCCTCTTTGAGCAATAAAACAATTGCTCATCTTATCGATAAAATCTTACCAGGACAGAGAAACTTCCACATGGTATTTTCAGGGGTGCTAGTCACTCCCTGCGGGACTTTCATTAATTTCTTCACCTCGATTCCCATGTGGTAATTCCTAAGGCCCAGTTTAAAGATGGGTTGATACTCTACAGTGGCAGAGAGGAGAATTTCTAATTGTTTCTGTTCTGCATTATGGATTCATTTCTGTACTCTCTTCCTCAATGTACAAGTAAGATGGCAGTTATATAAAATCATACACAATAAAATCAGGACTATAATAACAAAAGGATAGAAGAATGATTTCATTATCTGAGATCCAGTAGGGGACCAACCAGTAAAGCATTGTACCAATGATGGGCTAAATCATTCTGAATTTGTGAACTCACCTTAAGGAGTTCTCCTTTTAGGATATGTGTGGCTACCTGTGTGTGTTATCTTTGGGAAAAATATAGTCCCCTGTGTATGTGGGTGCCCACCAGGTTAAATTCTTGGCAAAAAGATCATAAACTGGTACTGGTAATGTGTTAAATTGACAAGCTAATTTAACATCCTTTGATGATGTATGATATAATGTAAAATAGCATGAGCATGAAAAATGTGAAACATTACCAGTTAACCATTCATTGCATTTACTGGATTGGGGTTTTAGAAGTAACCATTCATTATCTGTGAGATTACACTTTCCTCTAATCTTCTCTAGTTTGGGAATCATTAGTGTGTTTTCTAATGCCAATCCTTGTTGTTGTATCCATAAATACCTGATGGCACAAGTACTCCAGTTACTTAGACCTGTAGTGAATTTCATAGTTGCAACAGTTAAATTATCTAAATAATTATACATTGATTTATCTAAATCCAATCCTATAACCTGTGATTTAACAACAATTGGAGCCCAATTTGCAGTAGCATGAAAACCAGTCCCTATATGCATGCTGGCTGTGTTTAACTTATTCTTGAGGGTCTCCATATCTATAACTATTTAGTATACCCATAGTGGTTCCAGCACCATCTAACAGTGTGTCATACCATTCCCTTTTCTGCCTTTGTTTGTTGTATTACATAATGTTACAACAAGAGTAGTGACTTTTAATGACACATGTACAGCTTGTAAGAAGGCAGTTGTATTAACACATGTGGACGGAATAGGTGTGTGTGTGTGTCGTGTTTGACTTTTGGTTCTATGGTAGTGGATAAAGGACAGTAATAAGGTGTAAAAATATAAGGTAGTGTATAGTTCTCAATTGTAGTGTCGTTCATAATGACTAACATTTGTCCCCTTCTCCAATTAATGATACCAGTTATATAATCATTATTAAAAGTAAAAAAGTAATAAGGCCTGTCTGTTTACATTGATATGCAACCTTAACTGTGCACATTTCTGCGTTATAAGATCTAACAATTTTCTGTGAACCTTTAAACAAACATAATGCATCGGTTTCATTAGCTGTAGACACATTTCATATGGGTATCTGGTACTTATAAGGGTTACTATTTGTCCAATTCATCCAAATGCATTCAGTGAATGAATGATTGCATATTACATGCTGATAGAAAGGTGGTGGAGAAAGGTTCTTGAGGGGGCGTGTGTGACGAATGCTAGATGAGGGGCTAAGGCCTAATTGGGCTGGGGGTATTGAAGAATTGTTCATCATGTCAGAGTCTTTTTCCAGAACTTGCCATTGACTTGTACTCATAATGGCATTCAAGGAACAATATCAGAGGGAGTATAACAACTCCAGAAAGCATAGCGCACAACATAATCTTGGTCTCAGGTACGTATGATCCTCTCAATCTACGATATGGTGTGAAAACCATGATGCTTCGCTGAGGAGAAATTCTTCTGTTTCCGAGCGAGGAGTGGTGTTGTCTTCCTTGGTTCCCCTCTTTGGACACAGCTTCACTCGGGATGCGTGAATCCAGATGTCATGGGAATCTGTGAGGACAGCGGTTATGGGTACAGCAATCACAGTAGCAGGTGGTCCAAAAGGGTATCCTCCTTTCTTGGTCCTGTTCAGCTGACGGATATACACCTTGTCACCGGGCTGGTATGAATGAGTAGGTTCCTGTGAAGGTAAGGGAAAACTGCGAAGAAACATTGTCATACATACCATTTGGTTTTATCAACAATTCACCTTGTGGGGATATATTCTTATCTCAGCTAAAATAGCTGGTAGATATCTAGTCCAATTTACCCATGTTCCTGGGTAAATTCTGGGCTTTTCCTTAATAGTCCTATTCATCCTTTCAACTACCCCTGTATTCTGTGGATGATAGGGTATATGAAACTGCCAGGTAACTTGCAAGAATTTAGCAAGTTCCTGGGCAACCTTACTGCAAAAACCGGGCCATTATCAGAGCCAATCTGCAGAGGGCAGCCATACCTGGGAATAATTTCAGTAACAATAATCTTCACTAGAATCTTCCCTAGATATCACAAAGGCCTCATGCCATCTACTAAACTGATCAACTATGACCAGTAAGTATTGCTGTTTCTTACCAATTTTGGATACATGAATAAAATCAATCTGTAAGTGTGTAAAAAGAGCAGTGTTCACACGATCTTACAAAAGACTGTACATGCTGCCTGAGATTCCTAATATAAAATGAATTCATGAGGAATTGAATGGTGCTTGCTATGTGCCTGACTGATGAAAATAAATCAGCTTGCTTCAAGTATGCCTATTCTTCAAGTATGCCTATTCTCCCCTCTTTAGAGAACAGATCATTTTGATCTTTCTCTAAACCTTGTTTAATCCAAAAGACAGATTGTGGGTATTTAAAAAAAGAATCTCATAACCACTGAAGCGCTGGGCTGTCATGTGTTGTACGGTGATATTTGTCATCAGCTGAGTGACCTGGTAACTGGCATGAAGTATTGTAGGATGCCCTAGTGTGATAGTAGTAGCAGTTTCAACAGCCATTGCACATGCTATCAATGCTCTGAGACACGCCGGCATACCCTGTACCGGAGCTCGAACTACTTTGGAAAAGAATGCTATGGGACGCATACCGCCTCCTTGCTCTTGTGCACAGACTGCGGCCATGGTTTTACACTTGTCCCAAACATACAAATGAAATGGTTTACAATACACAGGTAGTCCTAAAGCCTGGGCTTGCACAATAACAACTGTAAGGGCAATATATGCAGCTAGCATGTCTGGTGACCAGCAGACATTTTCAGGGCTGTCAGAACGTACAGCCTCCCTTAGGATTGAGTCATAATGGGAGCATTCAGGGATCCATTGGCGGCAGTAATTAATCATGCCGAGGAAGGTGAGCAACTCCTTCCGAGTAGTGGGTGTAGGAATCCTCTGAATGACCTCAATACATTTTGGACTCAATTGTCTGGTGCCTAAAGCCAGAACAAAACCTAAGTATTCAACCTTTGATTTACACAATTGCATTTTGTGTTTAACAACCTTGTGACCCACAGTTGCTGACAGTATCCACAGTGCTTGCCTCATAGTTAGGGCTACATAACAACAAATCATCAACATTTTGCAAAAAGGACGGAACCATGACCGGTGGTCCATGTTTTTTTTTTTTAGAGTATGTTGGAGTACCAACGAATAAACAGCTGGGGAATCCACATAGCCTTGGGTAAGCGTGTCCAGGTAAACTGACAGCCTTCAAAAAATAAAAACCATAAGTAGCTGTGTCTCTTGATCAATAGGTATAGAAAAAATGCATTACTTAAATCAATGACAGTGAAGCAAGTGGCATCATGTGGAATGGCTGTAATGAGGGATGTCACATCAGGGACAATGGGTGAAATGGGCACAATTAAACTATTCAGGGCTCTAAAGTCCTGAACTAAGCGATATGCTGGCCAGTGGTGTTGGGAGTGGGTCTGGTGTTGTTCTTGCCTACCGGGCATATTTTGAGAATGGTGGGGTTGTTGGGGTGTGTGGGGTTTCCTGGGGTGTGGACACTCATTCCTCCAGTGGCCATATTGGCCACAGTTGAAACAAGTGTTCCTGTCTATTCCTCCTTGGTTACCCCTGACCCTATAACCCTGATTTCCCTGTCTCCATCCCCTTGCCCCTCTTTGACCACCCCTTCCACGGGCTTTATGTGTTCCATCCCATCCTCGCTCTCAGCCTGTGTAGCTGGACATATGTTGCAATCCCTGAGCATAATAAGCAACCTTACTTTCCTAAACCTTTTCTTAATTCAAAACAACCTGCATTTTCCTTTTCTATAACCTTGGTAAGAAAATCTGAGCTATCCAAATTGTCCCAGTCTGAAATCAATTGTTTCACAAGCAAAGAATACTGTGGCAACATATTACCAAGGCATGACTGTATTTTAAAGATATCTATATCATCTCCAGACATCAAACCTGCCTCATCCTTCCAACACTTGTAAAATTTCTTTACAAAAATCATATTACCAATCTCTTCCTTTGCATCTTGCTTATATGCCAAAGCAGTGAATATAGACTGCTTATTCTTCCATAATCCCAACATTTCAGCTTCCACCTTGTTCCAGATTTTAGCACATCTTACTGAAGTACTAAGCTCATAATCACCAATTCATTTCAAACCATATAACTCATACTCAGCATCCAATGTAATATTAGTCATCTCATAAAACAATATCTTTGTAGAAACACATAATGGGTACCCAGCAGATATGCCAATACAGAAATCACATTTATGGGCACACAACTACACACTCTGTCTCCCTCCTAGGAAACACAGATAGACACAATATAAAAGCAATCTTAAACTAACACCTCCAAATCTCCAACTATTCTTGGCCAAAACGCTAGTATTCAACAACTAATAAAACAGTTATTTGCTAGGTTATTTGGCTGTCATTCTTATCAGTATCACTAGACTGTGACAAACTGATTCACATATAATTTAAAACAATACAGCAACATATAAATTAAACCACTTTCAAGTTAAACTTCACACTTATCACACATTATCACAGTCACCATTTACACAGAATAAACAGTTAACAGCTGTATTCAGAACATATTATTGGAAGGTATACCAATTTTAGTTTAGATTTATTTTAGGGATTCTTATGTATACATTTTCTTAATTAACTTCATTACTTTAATCTACTATAGTATTATATTTAAAGAAAGGATCCATTTATATAGCGCGCTCATAACTCAACTATTTGTATAAAACTTCCATTAACTAATCTGAGATGATGCTGCATCAACTTAAATCTTACAGAAATTTTTTTTTGCAAACATCTGGACCAGATTAAACAGACATGGTTTCACCTGAATCTTTCAGAACTCTCAGAGACTTAAAAAATTTATACTATACCATGTTTTAAAGGCATGGCAAACCTTTAGACCGGTCAGTCTCCAAGAGCCCTTTGTAATACAGGTAAAAACCTTTTGTCCATGATGTCTGATTCAGGCTATATACCACAATTTAAAATAACACATAATGTGAGACATAGAAGACACAAGCAGTAGTTATTACACTGGATCATTTAAAAGGAACCTGTTGCAATAAAAGGTTAGTTTACAGTGCAAAATAAAGCATGTGTTGGACCGCTGAAAATGTAAATGTTGCTCTGTTATTTTCAAACAAAAATAATATTTACAGTATGGATCCTTTGCAACAAACACACAGGGCAGGGAAGATGTGCTGATTGGTGTTTCTATACAATTAATCCCATATGGGGAATTAACTTTCAAATACTAATGAAGTGACTTTTTGTCTCAGTTATAAAATATACTGAGCTCATCATGCAAACAATGCAACACATTTACACTATCCCACTCTCATAATAAGTGTAGTGGGCTTATAGTATTTTTAAAGCAACAATCATTCCAGGCACACAGTTCCCATGTGAAATAACTTACAATAAAACAGAGTAATAAACTTATACTTCTATGCGACAGAAAGAATAAAGTAAAAAGATTTAAGTAGGTCTATCAGGTACAACCTATGAGTCATTTCTTTTCTAATATACAGTACTGCTATCTTGCAGAAAGATAAGTCCTGCGCTCACTCCCATCACTACTGGGCAGCAGCAAGGACTACAGTACACATCAGCCCCAATATATGGTAAAAACCAAAGAAAAACAAGTTACCTGCGTTCTCTCCTTAATCCCTATGTATTTTTAAAACCTCCATTTGTTTAAAAGTACTGCTATCTTATATATACACATATACATATACACACACATATATACATACATATACACATATATACATACACACACATATACATGTACATATATTGGTCACTCAGGACATGAACTCACATTTCCCATACTGCTGACTCAGAGTGGGGACACTACTAACTTACCAAAGTGTGTCCCCAATATAGACAAACAATCACCCACAAAAAACACTTAAGACAAACAAAGGTGACCGGGAGAAAGAGAAGTTTGGGTTATACTTATAGATCTACAAACCGTGCTGCTCAGAACACCTATAGACTTAATAAACCGGAGACCTCTTATGGTCTCAAAAACCTGTATCTACCTGAGATACCCTGTATCTATCTTAGATACTAACCTGGGTTACCAAAACCCTATAATAAACCGGAGACCTCTTATGGTCTCAAAAACCTGTATCTATCTTAGATACTAACCTGGGTTACCAAGAACCCTATATATATTTAGACCAAATGTCTAATAAACCGGAGACCTCTTATAGTCTCAATATAACTAGAGTCCTTACACCTTTCCTATCTACTGGATACAGTCTTACTGAACCAAAGGGGGGTCATAGACAATCAGCGTCAAATAAGACACAAAAAGGCTACTCACCGCAAATGGTTTTGCTGATCCATCCATCCCACTTCTAGACACCAAGCTGAAAGGGTTAATGCTGTAATGGACTCTAATCCCCTCGGTTCTCGATCCCTCGGTCACCATAATCAACGTTGATGGAGAATCATTGTAAGCATTAACACACGGACAACAGCTTTACAAGACTCTCAAATGAGTGTATTCCAGAGCTGGCTTTTATACATAGTTTGCTTACATTAGCCATGGTATATGCAAATACAGTACAGACTATAAGATTTATTACTTCCTTGTATTACGTTATTCTGACAATGGAAAGATAAGCTTTTGCATACGTCTGGAAAAGAATATCCTTAAAATCGGAATGGGCAAGACATCCTGAAATTTAGCATTGTCTTACATCCTATAGAAGAAATACCTTAGTCTGTCACAGTCAGCATATTGACTTTAAGTATTCAATATCCCTTCAGTCAGCAATAATCATGTTATAAACCTTATAAAAGCATAAAATACATATAAACAAGTTAACTATTTAATATTCTTACAGAGAGACTATTAAAGTCATACAGAATATGATTACTTATTGCTGCTAACAGGGGTTCCACAAGCTAGTAACTCCTAATGTGTACTTAGTTTTTCACACATGGCTTCTCCATTATTGCTTTATTTTGTTAAATAAATCATGACACAGTGTAATATGTTGTGGTGTTGTTCATCTGAGGTTGTATTTACATCATTTTAAGACCTGCTAAACAACAGATGATTCAAAGAGTATGTACTTTGTTTCTCCCATGACTGTGTATATACATACACACACACACACACACACACACACTAAGTGCATGAATTTGAATTTTGCTACAAGTGCACTGTTTATCACTATCTAATGTATAGATATAAATACATATTTCTTATAACTACTGCACAGTATTTACAAAGATCACTATATAAAATGAATGCATCCAAGTAGAAAGTAAAAATGTCCCACTTAAAGTATTATAAACATATTGTTGTTAAATGGGATTAGGTTTGTACTGCGAGTACAGTTATTTGCAACTTTAAAGGGACACAACAGGCAGGAATTGATTCTCAATTTTTAATTCATTATATAGATAGTGCATTAAAAGATATGAAATATAATTGCTTTCAAAAATGTGTGCATCTACAAAGCCACATGCAGACCACTGTCTCACCAATCAGGAGCCATCCTTTCCGTTCTAAGGGGTCTGACGTTGCTCCATAAGCCCTTGATCTGCAGAAAATAGTTGGGGCTCTCTAGCAGAGAATTGCCCAGGATCCATTTAACATTGAAGATGGCCATTACCCAGGACTATCAGGCACTGTTTGCATACAAACTCTGCTATAAAAGATTATGTGAGCACCAGGACTAGCCAAGTTACTTCTAGGTCTGAGTTCACTGCAGAAGATGCAAAAACCACAAGTCAGGAGGGTTAGCAGAAACACACCAGATATCACTTGTCTAAACTTTAGCAAACCCACTGACTACACAACAGTAATATGAGCACATGCTGTTCTTCATCCATGATTCATGACACGTCATAGTGTTGCTTGCAATCAGAAATCCTATGGTGATGTGGACATTTTCATTTTTCATAATGCTCCATCATAGTGTTCTTAGTGTACCATAAGGATAAAAAGTAGATCTTGAAATGTTTGTATTCTACTTTTATACTTTATACTGCATTTATTCGTATGTACCATTAGGAGAACTATTGGTGATAAAAACAACGCTGCTCTTGACAATAACATTACCTGAGAAAATGTGACTTCGACTGCCCAGCACTGCTCTAAGTATGTAAACCACAGCTGACAGGTTGTTCTGAACAAACCGGTCCACAAACAATATCATATACATTATAGCGAGATCATATCTGTTTTATAAACTCAATCAGTTCCAACAATGTTGTGTTGTTCAATGAGAACTACATAAAAAGCAGAATTAATGACATTGAAACATCTGATCTAATTTATATTACATTATATATACACATATACAGGGAGTGCAGAATTATTAGGCAAACGAGTATTTTGACCACATCATCCTCTTTATGCATGTTGTCTTACTCCAAGCTGTATAGGCTCGAAAGCCTACTACCAATTAAGCATATTAGGTGATGTGCATCTCTGTAATGAGAAGGGGTGTGGTCTAATGACATCAGCACCCTATATCAGGTGTGCATAATTATTAGGCAACTTCCTTTCCTTTGGCAAAATGGGTCAAAAGAAGGACTTGACAGGCTCAGAAAAGTCAAAAATAGTGAGATATCTTGCAGAGGGATGCAGCAGTCTTAAAATTGCAAAGCTTCTGAAGCGTGATCATCGAACAATCAAGCGTTTCATTCAAAATAGTCAACAGGGTCGCAAGAAGCGTGTGGAAAAACCAAGGCGCAAAATAACTGCCCATGAACTGAGAAAAGTCAAGCGTGAAGCTGCCACGATGCCACTTGCCACCAGTTTGGCCATATTTCAGAGCTGCAACATCAATGGAGTGCCCAAAAGCACAAGGTGTGCAATACTCAGAGACATGGCCAAGGTAAGAAAGGCTGAAAGACGACCACCACTGAACAAGACACACAAGCTGAAACGTCAAGACTGGGCCAGAAATATCTCAAGACTGATTTTTCTAAGGTTTTATGGACTGATGAAATGAGAGTGAGTCTTGATGGGCCAGATGGATGGGCCCGTGGCTGGATTGGTAAAGGGCAGAGAGCTCCAGTCCGACTCAGACGCCAGCAAGGTGGGGGTATCATCAAAGATGAGCTTGTAGGGCCTTTTCGGGTTGAGGATGGAGTCAAGCTCAACTCCCAGTCCTACTGCCAGTTCCTGGAAGACACCTTCTTCAAGCAGTGGTACAGGAAGAAGTCTGCATCCTTCAAAAAAAACATGATTTTCATGCAGGACAATGCTCCATCACACGCGTCCAAGTACTCCACAGCGTGGCTGGCAAGAAAAGGTATAAAAGAAGAAAATCTAATGACATGGCCTCCTTGTTCACCTGATCTGAACCCCATTGAGAACCTGTGGTCCATCATCAAATGTGAGATTTACAAGGAGGGAAAACAGTACACCTCTCTGAACAGTGTCAGGGAGGCTGTGGTTGCTGCTGCACGCAATGTTGATGGTGAACAGATCAAAACATTGACAGAATCCATGGATGGCAGGCTTTTGAGTGTCCTTGCAAAGAAAGGTGGCTATATTGGTCACTGATT